GGGGGGGAATGGGACACCTGTAATACTTTCAAAAATAAAGATAAATTTAAAAAATAAAAATTAAATTAAATTAAAGAAAGAAAGAAGTTTAACTCAATAAATACAACAAAGTTTCTATATTTTCTGAATTTTCAACCAGATACAATAAACATCAATTATTTTATTAGAAAATATCACTGTTACAAAAATTAAAAATAAATAGGTTGCTGCCACAAAATTGCAACATAATATATAGTCAACTCGTTCTGTTATGGTCAGTTGAGAGAAAGATGACAGGAGTGAACAGAACAAAGAAGGGAAACAGATATGAGGGGAAAGAGATTTAGAAAGAGGAAAAAGGGGAAGAAAAAGGCAGAAAAAGTGCTTTAGTAAATGAATTAGTTATATGAGGTCACCAAGAGGAGCACATCCTCTGACTAAAATGCTGTGTGGCCCGAACCACATGATATAGATGATTTCATTGTCCACATGCTTTAACCCAGGGGCAAAGGAGGTGCTCACATTCTCTCCGCAAAGGCATGACTGGCAGACTTTACTCTCCCACGCTGGACCAAGAGATCTGGGGAGTGGTGGTGTTAACCATGGCTGGAGGAGTGCTCGCTCACACTTGTCTACGCTTGGATGACTGGGCCACAGAACACTGGTGTCGGCAGCCTGCTTCCATCACTGCTGAGACGGCTCAAAGACAATGGTCAACTCGGGCTTTTCTTCTTGAAGTGCTTCTAATGCACAGATTGTATCATAATTAAAATACATTTTACATAACCTATAAAAGCAAACAGAGAACCTTGAGTTATACTCTTCAAGTGAACACTCAGTTTTTGGCCTTTAAAAAATCTCATCTCACTTCCCTTATTCCCACACACTAAGCTCTCCAGTGCTGCACTTCATACATAAGGTGATTTATGTTATATTTGTAACCTTCAAGTTTGAAAATGTTTAAACATATGTAAACATAGAGAGAGTAGTGTAATGAACTCCCATGTGCCCATTAGGCAGGTTTGACAATTAGCAGCTCATGGCCAATCTTGTTTCAATTAAACACTGCACGTCACATACCTATAAATATTTCATGGTATGGCACTAAATGAAGATTTTGAAAAACATAACCAGAATGCCATTATCACAGGGTAAAAAATTAACAATAATTCCTTAATATCAACATATGTCCAATATGTTTCAATTTCCTCAACTGTCTGATAATTTTTTATACTATTTTTATTTAATCAGAAGCTATATAAAGTCCACATGTTGCAATTGCTTGGTACGCCTCTCAAGTCTTCTTTGACATAAATTCTTTCTCTTTTCCTTGCCACTCAACTGAGAAATCATACCACTTGCCCTGCCTCATTCCTAAGAATCTTGATTTGATTGTGTTGTGAATTGAAAGTTTATGTTCCTCCAAAATTCATATGTTGAAGCCATAACCCTCAATGTGATGGTATTTGGAGATGATACCTTTGGGATCTAATTAGGGTTGGATGAGGTCATTGGGGTAGGTCCTCACCATAAGATTAGTGTTCTTATAGGAAGAGATACCAGATTATTCTCTGTCTCTGCCATGTGAAGACACAGCACAAGGGTGCCATCTGAAGCTCAGAAGACAGCTTTCATCAGAAACTGAACCAGCAGACCTTGAACATTCCTTCTCTCCAGAACTGTGAGAAATAAATATCTGTTGTTTAAGGCATTTATTCTATGCTATTTTTGTATGGCAGTTGAGTTGACAAGACAGATTGACTGCATCCATGGACTCCCCAGTCTTTCCTTCATCCCCAAAGTGTCCTTTAGGGCTTGGTCAGTGATCCCACATACAGCAATATCCCAGCTTCATCCCTTCTTTTGTTCCTCTATTTCTCTTAGCTCTGAGAATTTTGGCTTTTCCTGCAGTGTGCTCCACTGTGTTGGCACAAGGATGCAATGCTGATTCAAACTTTTATTTATTCAAACCTGCATTCCAGTCGGTTCTCAACCTTGAGGTCATGGACAAGGACAGAAGTCCCTGGGCTAACAGAATTTATACTTTTGGAGCAGGATATAGATAATAAATAAACAAGAAAAGAAGAGCATATCTGATGGTGGTCAACACTATGGAGGGAAATAAGAAGAGAAGAGGAAAGAGCATTGCTGGCCTGCTGCTTTCAGTAAGATGGCAAGAAACACACAGAGGAAGAACTTCAAGCAGATAATTTAAGGATGTGCAGGAACAAGGGAGAGAATTCCAGGCAGAGGAAACATCAAGGGCAAAGTTCCAGAGATTACAGTGTTTACGTGAAACAGCAAGGAGACCAGTGTGAAAGGAGCAGAAGGAACAGGGGTAGGAGAAGATGAATTTGTGGAAGCAGCAGGGTTAGATCACAGAGGGTCTTAGGCTTTGCCATGAGTTTATGGCTCTTATCTGGAATGTGATAGGAAGTGTGTGGAGCATGTTGGTAGGAGTGAGTCCTGTTTTAGCTATACACTCCATCTTCTATGGTAAAAAAAATAAGTGCAGAGTAGCCTGGCAGAATGCCACCGTAACAATCCAGACAAGAGGCGATGGTGGCTTGAACCAGGGTAAGAAGCATGAAGTTGGCAAGACGTGGACAATGAGTGGGCATGCTGTCAAAGTGGAGCTTACAGGACATGCCAATGGAGTGCATGTGCATCAGGAGGAAGAGGTATCAATGGTGACACCTGAATTTTTTGGTCTGAGCAAGGGGAAGAAGCAAGTCTCAGACAGAATGGAATAGCCCAGGTTTGCATTTAAAAATGTGAAGTTTGGGAGGCTTATTAGACACCCTCGTGGAAATGTCAAATAAGATATAAATTGGGGGTACAGCACACATAGGATAAAACCAGAAGATGAGATGATATAGTGTCGAGAAGAAAAATTAGGCAATGGGTGAGTCCCAGGGATTCAGCATGTAAAGTTCGGGACAATGAGAAGCAAAAAGGAAGACTGAGCAGAAAGAGCCAATAACATAGGAGAAAACCCAGAGGACAGCATGTTGCCTCTAAAGCCACATGAAAGAAACGTCTTCAGTGGGGTGTGTGATCCTCAGGGCTGACTGAAGTCAGAACACTAACAGGAAGCTCTTATTAGAGAAGAAATGAGTATCTCAGTAGCGTTCTGGTGATGGAAGGGAGCCAATGGTTCGAATACACGTCACTGGCTGAATTTTATGGAATTTCTCATATTGCTGTTTCTGAAGCACACTCTTCCAATCTAGAAATCCTCAAAAACAAGACCAACAATACCCCTCTATGCCAAGACCTTTGCAATCAGGATGAACCATAGACAGGTGTAGTTCTATGAAGTCCAAGGCCCTGCAGAGAAATATAACTCCATTTGGCTACTTTCATTAGGCCTTACATTTCTTTTAGAAATATGGATGAAAAGCCTTTTCACACCCAGCTGAACCTTGAATATTCTAAATGTCTGGATGAAGTTGAATATGTAGTTCATGACTCATCTACCCTAGTTTAAAAATATCTGCAACACCTGGCCCAGGCCCAACTTCACCCTGAGTGCAAAGGAACCATCTTGGATCTTGGTAACTGGCCAACTTTTCCTTAGAACTCGGAGCCCCGCTCCTCATGTCTCTTCAGAGAGCACTTACTGAAGCCTTTTTAGGAGGCAGCCCTGTTGTTTCAGCACTTCGCAGAACAGCATGACTCCCAGATCTCCCAGGTCGTTGTTGCCCAGGTTCAGCTGTCGCAGGCTCTGGTTGGAGGTCAGAAGTGTGGAAAGATCCCAGCAGCAGTGTGAGGAGAGGCTGCAATTGTCTAGTCTGCAAGAAAGAGGGTGATTCAAAGAAAATGTTCCCTTACCCTTCCTCCAGGTCTCCCAGATCTTAGCCTGTAATGTTTCCAATAAAGAAAAAGTGCAGGATGAACAAGTTTGGAATAATTGTATGTGCCGTGATTACCCTTCCCTTCTTTGCAGATGAGAGTATTTTTTTTTTCCAAGTCTACTGGATTATCCAGATCCAGTTAGCAATAGCGCTTTCTGAATTGATATTTCCCAAATTCTATGTCTCCTCCCAAATTTCCTTAAAGCACAAGAGCCATACCACCCCCATCTTTTGTGGTAGACAAGTTTGTGGTGAAAGGAACTCCAGCCTTTAACTTTACACTTTCTAGAAGTAGAACTCTTCCCAGTCCCATGATTCTGTAATAAGCCAAACCCTCGGAGGACACCACCACTTCTTAGATACAGATGATCTCATCATCACATTTCTAGACGCCCCTCTTCTTACCCACCATGTATTCTCATCACTGTAATAAGCTAAGGAACTTACTCCAACATCTGAAGCTTGCAGTTGGGGTGCAAGAGTCCCTTACACAGTAGCTTCACCCCCATGTCTCCAAGAGCATTGCCCCGTAGGAAAAGGTGCGTGAGATTCTGGTTGCCACTGAGCACTGAGGACAGAGCTGGACAACAATCTGATGTAAGGCCCGACTTCACCAACCTGCAGAAGAAATGGGGAGAAGAGTCCTCAATGTCCAGCCTTCCTTGGACATTGCACAGCTATCCCACCACAGGAACCTGATCTTATCTGAAAAGCTACATCCTCCAACTTAAAGGTCAGGAGCTAGCATCACGGATATAACCTGAGGAAAGCACAAATGCCTGTCTCTAGCTCCATAAAAGAGACAGATGACTGTCTCAGCAGATGCCTTGCTGGGGTAAGTGGAAGAGACAGAGTAAAAGCAAACTGAGCCAGACAAGAGGGAAATGAAACCCAAAAGGGATGAGCAGAAACAAAGCAAGTTTCAAGTGGCTTCTAGTAAGTTTTGTTTCCAGCTAAGAAGAATTTCCTCTGAGGGTCCTCAGTGAATATGCAGGAGGAATTTGCAGGATTACTAACTGTTATAGACCTAATGTTTGTATCCCTCCGAAATTCATATGTTAAATTTGTAACTCCCAATGTGATGGTGTTATGGAGTCTTTGGGCAGTCTGATTAGGTCTTGAGGGCGTAACCCTCATGATGGGATTAGTGCCCTTATAAGAGAGATCCCAGAGAACACCCTCACCCCTATGCTGTGTGACTGCAATCGAGGAAGTCATCACCAAGAACCAGATCATCTATAGGATCCTTGATCATGTGCATCTGGCCTCCAGAACTGTGAAAAATAAATGTTTGTTGTTTAATTCACTCAGTGTATGGTTTTTGTGGGGTTTTTTAGAAAGGGAGAAAAGGAGAGAGAGAAACATTGATGTGAGAGGGATACATCAATTAGTTGCCTCCCACACACTCTCCAATCTGGAACTGAACCCACAGCCTAGGTATGTACCCTGACTGGGAATCCAACCCGTGACCATTTCATGCACAGGATGGCACTCCAACCAGCTGAGCCACACTGGCCAGGGGAATGGTATTTTTGTATAACATTGGCAAAGATGGAAGAACATGTGAGAAGACTGAAGACAGACATCAAAATGGAAAGAAAAGAATAATTTGAAAGTTATAGAATGACAAACATTACCAGTTATTTCCAAAAAACAACTAGAAGGAATTTTGAAACAGGTGTTTGAGGAGCATAGGGAAGTGGCCGTAGTCACAAGCAGATGGAGAGATTCTGTTATGAATAAGTCACATCTGGATGATCAGAATGTTAGTAACCACTGAGACTGAGTGATGGGTACACGTCACATAACAAAACGCTTAGGCAATCAAACAAGTGAGTCCTACCAACCAATCCATTAGATTAGAAGAATGCAACCAACAATTGTGTATCTTGGTTTCAACCAATGGGTTCAGCTCAGTTCCTCATTTACTGAGCACTGTCAACATAAGAAACATTCAAACCTATAGAGAATTTTTGTGAGTTTATTTGAGCCAAACTGTCAACAATTGCTAGGAAGCAAAGTCTCAATGGATTGAGATAATGCTCCAGAGAATGGCAGTTTTGCGTCTTATGTTATACATTACAATCAAAAGAAAAGACTCAAGTGGGTTATATGAAATCCACTGGTGACAGATTAGGGAAATGGGAGAAAGCAAAGCAGGGAAACCTCTGAGATTGGATGAAAATAAAATGATAGACACATACATCTTTTACATAGGTGGGTATAGGATAGTTAATAGTTAATAATTAACATGATAACAATAACAATGAGAGGATTTATGGTCCCTGCCCTGGTGCAATGGTTGTGCCTTGAGGGGTCTGGGAAAAGGGGAGTTACCTTGACTTTCCAAAGGTATGTTATCTTAGATGCAAAAGACAATAAGACAGGCTTAGTTAAGATAAAGACTGACTTTTGTCAGGGAAGATTCTAGCCTAAGACCTGACTATCTGTCATAAACTGCTTTTAGTTAAAAAGTTTATTTCATAACATCCTTTGTGGTTACTTTAGGTATCTGAGTTTGCAAGGCCGCCACATAGGCTTTCCCTGAGCTTGTCAGGTTAGCAGTGGCCCCTTTTCATCTATAGCACAGATATCTTGTCATCTACCATATTAAGTTAAACTATTATATGTTTTTTAATTTTAATAATGACATAACTTGTGTCACAAAAATGTCTCACAAAGAAAACTAAGGAAGTTTTTACATTTGTTGAATATTTACTGTGTACTTGGTTGTGTGATAACTTCTAACAGGATTATCTGATTGAGTTATTACTAAACCAAGATATAAGTGTTATTTTTATCTGTATTTTTAAATTGAGAAAAAACAGAGAGTGAAAGAAATTACCTAAAAAATAAGATGTAACTTCCTAGATGGACAGTGGAGGTGGGAGAGTAAGGGTAACCCTCCAAGCAAAAGCAAAATGGTATGCAGGGGTAAGGAAGGGTGGAAGAGCAGACCAGTCTCTTAGAACTAAAAATGAATTCAATATAATTCAAAATAGGGTGGAGGGTGTGGTAGACAAGAGGGCAGAAGCAATAACCTAGAGGTGGTCTAGGTAAGGTATGTGCCAAGGTAAGATATACCAACTTTACTCTGACTTCAAAAAAGAACTTTTGGAAAAAAACAGGATTCCAAGATGGCAGCGGATTAAGTGGAAGCTTCACTGACATTCTCCCAGGACCAAACTGGAATTACAACTAAATATAGAAAAACCATCCTAAATAACCAACTGAAGACTAGCTGGAGAGAACTCTTACGATCAAGGACATAAAGCAGAGACCACATAGAGGCTGGTAGGAAGTGCAGAGGTGAGAGAGGGCTGGCTGGGTCCCACAGACAGCAGCTGAAGTTTTGTAGGGATATCTCAGCTGGGGGGGGTTCCCACTGAGAACTCTGGGGTCTAAACCCCAAACTGGTCTCTTCAGGCCAGAGCACATAACATCTGGCTCTGAAATGCAGTGAGGTTTCTGTCTGCCAGGAAGAGACTGCTGGAAATGCAGGCACCCTTTTAAAGGGCCAACACACAAAGTTTCATGTGCAGCCACTCAGCTTGGGCTCTGGCAGAGGGAGGGTAGAGTGGACTAGAGCTGTGTGAGGAGAATTCAGGGTTGAGGGTTCTAGGGATAGAGCTCAGAGGGCAGCGGCCTGAATTCCTGTGCTGACTCATTCCACCATACTGCAAAGAATAGCTTTCTCAGGCAAACCTTTACCATCCAGGAAGCTTTTGCCTGAGGAGGAAGCAACTGCCCCACCCATTGGGAAACCTCTTGCCCCACCCTGTGGAGTTTCTGCCTTGCTGTGGTCTACAGCTTGAATTTCATTAAAAGACTGAGAATAGCCCTAGCCTGTTTTGCTCAGTGGTTAGAGAATTAGCCCACTGACTGAAGGGTCCTGGGTTCAATTCTGGCCAAGGGCATATACCTCAGTTGCAGGCTCGATCCCCAGCCCTGTTCTGGGTATATGTGGAAGACAACCAATTGATGTGTCTTTCTCACACTGATATCACACACCCCCCTTCCACTCTCTCTGAAAAAGCAATGAAAAAAATATCCTCTGATGAGGATTTTAAAAAATTAAAAAAGAGAGACTGAGATTAACAATCATCCTGCAGGAAGAAGCAGATCTCAGGATGCTTTGAGTCTTGTCTGCTCTGCTTGTGGACCCAGGACTAGGAAAAGCAGGCCTTGGTGTGCATCTTGATCCTTTCCAAACACACCCAGCCCCAGCAGAAGGGGCCACAAGCTGTTGGTGGCTGATAGCTCCAAACAGGGCACTCAAGCCAGTAACAAACAGCGTCTGACATTGCCCTGTATCAGAGACCATCCAAAAAGACTGAAAGTTGTAGCAGATCTACCTAATACATAGAAACAAACCCAAACAGGGAGCCAAAATGGAGAGACAAAAAAATAAGCCCCAAATGAAAGAACAAGAGAAGTCTACAGAAGAAGAGCTAAATGAAATGGAGATAAACAATTTATCAGATATAGAATTCAGAGTAATGATTATTAAGGATGCTCAACAGCATAAGAAAAGATATAGAAAAATGACCAGTCGATAATGAATGATGTAGCAGAAATGAAGAATACATTAGAAGGAATAAACAGCATATTAGAGGAAGCCAAGAATCAGATCAGCAAATTAGAAAACAGGGTAGAAAAAAAATCACCCAATCAGAACTTCAAAAAGAAAAAACAATTGAAAAACAGGAAGACAATTTAAGGGAGCTGTGGGACAATATGGAATGTAACAATATTTGCATCATAGGAGTGCCAGGCAGTCTAGAGTGTAAGCAAGAGTTCGAGAACCTGTTTGAAGAAATAATGGCAGAAAACTTCCCTAACCTGGTCAAGGAAAGTTCACACAAGTTTAGGAGGCACAGAGAGTCCCAAGCAAGAAGAACCCAAAGAGGCCCATGCCTAGACACATCATTATTAAAATGCCAAAAATTAGAGACTAGGAGAGAATCTTAAAGGCAGCAAGAGAAAAGCAACTACAAAGGAGCTCCCATAAGGCTGTTAGCTGATTTTTCATCAGAAGCTCTACAGGTCAGAAGGAAATGGCATGAAGTATTCAAGATAATGAAAAGCAAGGATCTGAAACCAAAACTATTCTATCCAGCAAGGCTATCATTCAAAATAGACGGTGATATAAAGAGCTTCCCAGACCAAAAAAAAGGCTAAAGGAGTTTATCACCACCAAACCAGCATTGCAAGAAATGTTAAAGGGACTGCTGTAATAAGAAGAAATCGAGAGAGAAAAACAACAACATAAATATCAATAATTAAAATGGCAATAAATAAGTACCTATCAGTAGTAACATTGAATGTAAATGGATTAAATGCTCCAATCAGAAGACATAGGGTAGATGAATGAATAAGAAAACATGACCCAAATATATGCTGTCTACAAGAGACCCACCTCAAACAAAAGATTCACACAGGACAAGAGTGAAGGGATGCAAAAAAGTTTTCCATGCAAATGGAAACAAAAAAAGGCTGAGGTAGCAATACCCATAAGGGACAAAATAGACTTCAAAATGAAGGCCAAAACAAGAGACAATAAAGGTCACTACATAATACTAACGGGATCAATAAAAGAAAAGGATATAATCCTGGTA